GGACATGGGGATGAGCCACATAGCTCCAGCCCTCAGGGTCTCCAGCCACATAAGCAGGTAACTTGTGTGGAGTCTGGTTTGTGCCCGTGTGTGCTGGGAGAGCTCAGAGTCAGGGTCAGGGGCAGCCCCACAGCAGCTGGGGAATATGGGCGTAGGGACAGGAGGTGCAGGCAGGAGCTGCCATTCATAGAGGCCGGAGTAGGAAAAGCCCCACCACAAAGTTCCATGAGTGGCAGACTTGGGACCTTGGATCTTTTCCCAGAATCAGCAGGGAGCCATCCAGAGTTTCTAAGTGGGGTGGTAACAAGCAAACACCGCACTTATGTTCCATGAAGCTAATTTTCAAAAGCACCCTTGACAAGGTGTTTTCACACACATCCCAGCATCTCATCCTTCCTCCACCGTCTATGAGAGAGGAGGGCAGCTAAGACGTCGTGTGGAAGAGAAGACCCAGTGGCAGAGAGGAGGCTCGCTGGGATTGCTCAGGATCCGTGAGGCAGCACCACGCTCCATCCAGGGCTCTGGCGTCTGGGTCCTGATCGCTGCTGCAGCTCTTCAAAGGAGAAATTCATTTACAAAAACTATAAGGCAGAGAGAAAATGATGACATTTAATATTAATGATAATATGGTTTCTGCCACTTAGTGAGTGCCTGCTGCCTGCCAGGAGCCGCACCACCGTTATAAATGCGCTATCTCATTTAAGCCATGTAACAATTTGTGAAGCTAGCTAGTAATATTCTCCTCTGTGGAGAAGGAAACTGAGGTTCAAAAAAGCTACCTTCTATTTCTGCAGATCTGGGATTGAACTCCAGCTCCCTTGCTCTTTAGATGTTGTAATGTGCTCGTGGGCAGAGGCTCACACCTGTCATCTCAGGACTTTGGGGGGCTGAGGCAAGAGAATTGTCTGAGCCCAAGTTTAAGACCAGCCTGAGCAGGATAGAGGGACTCCACCTGTATACAAAAATTAGCTGGGCATAGTGGCATGCACCTGTAGTCACAGCTACTCAGGAGGCTGCGGCAGGATGATTACTTGAGCCTGGGAGGTCGAGGCTGCGGTGAACTGTGATGGAGCTACTGCACTCCAGCCTGGGTAAAAGAGTAAGACCTTGTCTCCAAAACAGACAAACAAACAAATACTGTAATATTCCCACTGCAGTCTGATGCCTTCCTTCTCCAGGTGGACAACCACCGGGTCGCCTCAGGTTCAGAACCTGTGCACCCGGACAGCACCAGGCCAGCTGTCCGCTGCCCGCCTCCCTCTCTGATGGCTGGATTCCTTACGGAACCCAGCCTAACTGCTCATGTGTGTGCTCCATAAATGGGTCAAGGGAAGAGTGTGCCAGAGTGGAAATGCTACCTGCTTCTGCTCTCTGGGGCATTTAGCCAAGAACGGTGTACATGGTTGGCCTGCCTGTGAATACAGCTGGCCAGTGGGTTAACACCTGGCAGGTTAGTGAGTTACACCTGCTTCTCCTTTTCTCACCTGAGAGGAGGGGCAGGAGGCCAAACATTGCATGGAAATTAGAGACAGTTGGTGGGGAGGGGGGCATTGGGAAGATCTTAGCATTTGGGGGTCAGGTGACGACTCTCTGTAGACACTCACTGAACTGGTGTCATTGCGTGACTTCTCTTCTGCCTTTCTGCATGGCTTGCAAAATTTGGCTCCCTTTCCCAGGCTTGCTTTCCCCTTCTCTGTGTGCTCTGCCAATTTGCTTGAATCAATAAACAGAAGGAGGAAGTGACATTGAATGAGACAGTGACACCAAGGGGTGATTTCTGTGTGAAAGCCTAAAGGAGAGCCCGGATCCATGGAGAGAATGGGAGGAGGGGGTGTGTGCAAACTTTAGGATCCCCAGAAGCCTTCCTGGAGGAGGCAGAGCTGGACGAGAGGGATCCCCGCCCCCGCCCCCACAGAGAATGTGGAGCGGGCCTCCCCATCAGACATCACAGGAGCTGCTGATGACTGGTGTGTGGAAGGAAGGGAGGAAAACCACCATGCAGAGCCTACGTTTGGAGCGTGGAAACGTGGCAGACTCAAAGTGCAGAGGACAGGTTTCTAGTTCAGCTTGGCCTCTCCAGGGCTGCACAAGCTTGGAGAAAATTGTCCTGTTTTTAAACTTCCTTTTTCTCTTCTGTGAAATGAGAATCCTGTCTAAGTCACTTTATCTTCACACATGAGAGACTGACAGTGAAAGTGTTTTGCAAACCATAAAGCTCTGTTCAAATGTAAAGATGTGTTCTTCTACATGGGAACCCGACACCACTCCTAGACTCCCTAACTGATACTTGCGAGGTGTCCCTTGCGCCTGTGCATCAGTGTTTGGGGGCTGCCTCTTGGTTCTCTTTCCTTTGCCCTGGATACAAACCCCTGAGGTCATGGGAACACACCAACCAAGTAAGCTGGACTTTGAGTCTGCAGGGACTCAATCCAGGGGGTGTTTTCAGCTCAGCCCCAGGCTTGGGGAGTTCCTTTTTAGCTGGGCCTGACAGAGATGGATTCCTGCAGAATCTGCGACATGGTTCTTTTGTCCTAGTCTCACTGAGACAGATTTAGGCCATCCCACTTTCATGTGAGCTTTCGCAGCTGGACCTGAACTGTTTGCTCACTTATGCACAAGGCATTTGTGCACCCCTGGCCAGGACCGTCTCTCCCTCTTTCCTTCCTTATCCCCTTACCCCTTTGCCTCTCTGCTTCCCACCTCTCTTCTTCCATGTGTGTCTTTCAACATTTTGAGGAGCACCTGCCAGGCCCATGCTGGGCATCATGGACAGCAGAGGTGAATCTAAGCATGGTCCCTGGCTTCGTGGGGCTCACGTGCTCCCAGAGGAGATGGGCACTTGAGTGCAAGATTGTAAACTGTAACATGTATGCTTCACTCAGGGAGGGGGGTCAGCTCTGGAGAGAGGGGGAGGGTGATGAGCAGACCCACCCAGGGTGGAGGGGCCCCGGGGGCACTTGCTCTGCACCCCCTCTCTGCAGAGCTGCTGCACACATGCCCAGTGAGACACAGGAGGCACTGCTCAGACACATTGACTAAAGCGTTAAGGTTGTCTAGTGTTTCAAGATTCACAAAACCTGAACACTTTGATTCTTCTAATAACTGTATGAGGTGGTCAGCTGAAAATATGAAAGTAGTTCACAAAAGTCTGGTGGTGGATTGAGCCAATACCAGAAGCCAAGGTCAGCCTGCAGGGTGGGAAGTCAAGGGAGGATGGAGGGCCAGGAGTCAGGGGTAATCCCTGTAGAGCTGACAAATAGCACCTGACACATAGAGACACCCAGCAGGTAATGTCACCTCTTATTATTGGTTGCTGTTTTCCAAAGAAATGGACGGTGCCCAGAGACCATCCAATCTAACAACCTCATTAAACAGAGGAGGAATCTAGGGCCCAGACAGATGTCAGTGGGAAGGCAGCCATGGGACAGCAAGTCCAGTCTCCCTGATTCTCAGCTGCGCATCCACACTCCCCACCATACAGAGCAGCCTGTCATGGGCCCCATGTTTTCTCTGCCATCACCTGGCTGTCATCATGCCTAGAGGTATCACCTGTATCCTGTTAGATACAGGAGCACAGTTTAAAGGCCATCAACATTCATGAGGATATAAACCTATCAAGTGAAAGCCACCTCACACTTGGCATCTCTAGTAGAGCCCAGCAGGATTTGCTTACCTCAGGGTAGCCAATATGTAAAGCTGGTTATTGTCACAACAGACCTTAACGGTCTAGCATCTTCAACACTTAATTGCCCCTTATTAGATTGTCGCAGAATGAGATAATTGGACCAAGCACTTGAACTTCTGACTCTCCCCTGTTTATTTGGTGGTGCGCACAGATGGGGAATTGCACAAGTGCCTTTTAAGGCCGGGGTTCTCAGAGCTCTGGGCGGACTGAGTTCACTGCCACTGTGTTTGCTCAGGGCGCGCTGAATTCATAACAGCTGCATTCCTGGAGTTTCTGGCTTTTATTTTTCTGCTTATAAGAAGTAAATTGTACATTTCCTTTCCCCTTTCCTTCTGTCCTTTTGTTTCCAGTACAAGTCCCTGTTATTAAAACACAATTCACTTCAGAGCCAGTTCTCTTGGGTTTATAAAAGTGCATATCTCATATTGAGCATAAAAGTCAAGGAAAGTTAATGTTATTCCTGAAGGAGAATGCGCTCGCTTTTGCAAAACAGAATGTAAATTCTGGCTATCTTGGCTGTTGGGTTTGGGATAAAGGAATATTTACATAACTTCCCGCCTTCAAAGTGATGCAGCTATGGACTTGAAAAAAAATGTGCCGACAGGCGCATCAGAGCCTGAAAAACCTTCACACCTTTGAAAACTGACTGGTGCTGCTCCAGGATTCTTGGTTGGTCATTGAGACACAGATATAACTAATTGCATGATTTGTCATGGCATGATTTATAATAGCAACTTCTTAGACACAATCTAAATGTCCATCTGCTGGAAGTGGGTAAGTACATGATATATTCACTTCATGAAATAGTGGCCTTTTCACATGTATTCAGCACTATTTATAGAGTCTACTGTGTATCAGGAACAGTGTGGGGAGGTAACTATATAATGATGAGTGGGAAAATTAGGCATAGCAATAACTGCTACAAGATGATGCTTTGGGGAAATCTTATAATTCTAAGTCAAAAACCCCCAGAAATGTTATTATCTCAATTTTGCTGAAAGCACGCAAAATGCTGGGAAGGTTGACTTATTTTTTGTTTTTAGATCTTCCTCCAAATATCTGTAAGGCGCACATAAAACATCTCTAGTAGGGAAAAACAAGAAAGATTTTATAAAAGCATTTGACATGCTCATTTGGAGGTTCCCCTGTTGGGAATTGTGTCTGTATGCAGGAGTCAGTGCACCTTTGGAAGTGACAGGAGAAGGTGTGTCCGCAGTGGAATGGCTGCTGGCCCCAGGGCGATGTTTTATCACTGGGAAGTCTGCAGGGTATTTATGCCTTCAGCTCATCCTGGTGCCCATCTTTCTTCCTCCAGACCCTCATGGGAAACCACAGCTTCTCCATACCCGTCCCTGTCAGCGCATTGATCTGCCGGCTTGTTTCCATAAGCACTTGGTCAGAGGAAACAAAAGTCTTACATCATTTGCTCCACAAACTCCCGTGGTGACTGGAACCCAGCTGCTGCTGTCTGAGGTAGCTTCGGGATGTGTGTGTGTGTGTGTGTGTGTGTGTGTGTGTGTGTGTGTGTGTGTGGCGTTTATGAGAGGGGAAGAGAGAGAGCAAGCCCATGAAAGGGCTTTGTTTACAGTTTTGTCTTTGACCTTACACGACTACCTTGCAGTTTGTATTCCAGGATCCTGCCTGTGGTAGAGCCTCAGAGAATACAAAGTGTATATTGTTTCAGAGTAATTTTGTGAAGGATTTTTATTTTTGACTTAATGAGCTCTGTCTGAATTAAATTTTAAGGTGTATTAGGAACATTTACCGTTTATAGATGCCATAAACATTATGTTCCTTAATATTTGCAAGTTCCATGCATTAATGTGAGCTCCGTATTTGCAGAGGCCTCCAGGAAGCTGTAATTGAGACTCAGGTGAGTGAGGCAGGCCACTCAGGGTACATCAGTGTCAGGGCACACTAGGGTTCTGGAAGCCCAGGAGAGGGACTCAGGCAGGTGTTGTGGGGGGGATTGGCAGTGCATTTGAGGAAGGTTTTCTGGAGGAGGCCATGTCTGAGCTGAGGTGTGAAGAATGGGTGTATTAGTCTGTTCTCACATTGCTATAAAGATACTACCCGAGACTGGGTCATTTATAAAGGGAAGAGATTTAATTGACTCACAGTTCTGCATGGCTGGGGAGGCCTCAGGAAACTTACAGCCATGGCAGAAGGAGAAGGGGAAGCCAGGCACATCTTACATGGTTCTCTAATGGGACAGAACTAATACGATAGGTGCGTATATGAAGTGGAGTTTATTAAGGAGCATTGACTCACATGATTAGAAGGTGAAGGTGAAGACCCACAATAGGCCGTCTGCAAACTGAGAGGCCAGGAAGCCAGTGCAGGCTCTGAAACCTCAAAAGTAGGGAAGCTGACAGTGCAGACGTCCATCTGCCACTGAAGGACTGAGAGCCCCTGGCAAACCACTGGTGTAGGTCCACAAGTCCAAAAGCTGAGGAACTTGGAGTTCGATGATCAAGGGCAGGAAGCATCCAGCACGGGAGAAAGATGGAGGCCGAAAGACACGGCAAGTCTGCTCTCCCGTCTTCCCCTGCCTGCTTTATTCTAGCCCCGCTGGCAGCTGATGGGATGGTGCCCACCCACACTGAGGGTGGATCTCCCTTTCCCAGCCCACTGACTCAAATGTTAATCTCCTTGGGCAACACCCTCACAGACACACCCAGGATCAATACTTTGCATCCTTCAACCCAATCAAGTTGACACTCAGTATTAACCATCACAGCTCTCAATGTGTGTGGCCTAAGTCTACAGGCTGGAACCATTGGGAGGAAGATGGGGGGGGTGTTAGGAGTGACCCCACAGCCTACTCATGGATCACACCTGGCGCCAGGCCAGCCTTCTCCCCCCCACCCCCACCCCTCACCTCTCACCCAGCCCCGTGGGTTCCGCCTCCTTTCTGTCATTCTCTTGCTTGCACCTGCGCTGGTGGGTTGCAGTCCAGGCACTAATGCTCACCTGTCCCCAGCCTCCCCAGCCGCCCATGCCACAGAAGCCTCCTCCCTGAGTCTGTCTGCTCCCCATGCCCCTTCCCCTTGTTAGCAGTTAACACTGTTAATAGCACAGGTGAGGTGCCAGGCTCTGCGCTTGGCCTGGCGTTCGCACTCAGGGCTCATTGCCGTCATTGTGTCTGTCCTTGTTCTTGTTGTTATTACTGGACTTGGAGTCAGAAGCAAGTTCAAATCACAGCTCCACCACCCTTTAGCTGTGGTCCTTGGGCCACATGCCTAATCTCCCTGAATATCAGTTTCTCGTCCATTAAACAGGAATTATAATTGCTCCCTTGCATTGTTGCTGAGATAATTAAATTAATTACATGTGCAAAATGTCAGGTCCCATTCCCTCCTGGAACAGGGAAAACCGTGTCTACCCAAGGAAAATCCATCCTGTATCCCTCCTTAGAGTTTCTGCAGGATCCCTGGGAGGTAAGGTGTGAAAAGTGGTTTGTGAATGCTGAAGTGCTATCAAAATGGTTAGAACGATGATTACACATTACAGTTTAGGGCGGCTGGGACAGAAGCTGGGGTGAGGTGAAGGTCTAGGCTCCTGCCTCTCAAGCCTCTCTCAGAGTCATGGGAGCAGGATTGGGAGACAGAACTGATGAGGAGACCATGCGTTGTGTGTTACTTGGAGTCAGCTGGAGTCCAGCAAACTCCCCAGGTCCTTTTCCACCCTGGACTCTGGCATCCATCTGTCCATTCCATGAGCACTTCATGAGGGCCCTTCCAAGCTGGGCGCCACCATGGATGCAGGGGCTGGAGGGGGCAGGAGGACAGCCTCATGGTGCTTACTGTCTAGAGGTGAGATGGTTAGACAGGCAGTTGACAAGCAAGGCACACTGCCAGCAAGACCTCTTCTGCGGAGTCGCCCATTGCATGCCAGGCCTGCCCCTTTCCGTGGGTTCAATTCCCCCAAGGACTCTGTCTTATTTTCCTGCATAGCCCCAGCACCTGATGCAGGGCCCCACACCTAGAAGGTGTTTGATAAGTAAGTGTCAGATTGGACCAGCTCAGTGAAAGCTGACTTCTGTGCAGTAGAACCAACCCACAAGGTTATTTTTTTAACATTGTATAGGAAATAAGGAGTTGAGGATTGCATCTTTTCAGGCAGTTTTTTTGAAAGACACAGCTCCTGGGTTCTGAGGAGATGGGAGGGCCCATCCGCTGCCCTCATCCCTCACTGTCGTGTGCACTGCAGTGGACCCCAGCTGCTCTGGGGCTAACTCTCCCTGCAGGTGGCCTCTGTGCTGTGGGCTCTGACACCTTCCACCCTGCAGGCTTTTCTTCTGGCCACTGGGATCTGAGCTGGGGCAGCTGCCCTGAAATTGCTCAAGTGGGTATTTCCTCTGGGTTCCCATCACTTTCCTGCTTACCCAGAAACCAGCATGCTGAGGGCAAAGCCGGGGGCCGCTGTTGCTAGTTCCTAGGTTCCTGTGGCGGTTTTCCAAGTGGGATCAGCGACGCTCTGTTGCCTTTTGTGCCTGGTGCAGCATCTGAGCCTTCTCTGCCTTCACGGGCAGCCCTCTGGCCACACCCTTATCACAGCTTTCCCTGGCCCCGTTTCCTCACCTCCCAGCACCGGTCGTCAGACTGCTCTTTCTTTAGAAAGGCAGCACTTTTTATATCACTCCTGTGTGCAAAAATACTTCTTACATCCACCCCCTCTTATCTGCAGGGTAAAATCCAAGCTCTCTTCCTTGGCATTGGAGCTTTCTACCCTCTTGAGTGTCGCCTCCTCCTCCTCCTCTCTCCAGCGTGGCATGCCAGCTCACCCACCCGGTGCCTCCTCCCGAAATACAGTCTGTATCTCCCAGCCCCCTGCCTCCCTGGAAGCTTTCCCCACATCAAAGCCCTCTTGCTTTCTGATGCTGGCAGGGTCTGTCTGCTGGAAGCCAACTGTAACTTTGCATTCTGTTACTTTATCTGCACTGTCTCACAGCATTCATCCCTTTCCCCGTATGTGCACAGAACATGTGCCACCGTCTACATATGCAGACATGCATGTGTGTATGTGTATCCTGGAGGCTATTCATCCCAGGGCCTCAGGCTTCTCCCCGAGCCCACCACCCCACTGGGAGGCAGCTCTTGGCTTCTTTCTGAGCTCCTGCACAGAATCCACTTGCATGGCAAGACTGAGCACTGCAGATTTACTGAAGAGTCTGTCAGGGAGCCCAGGAGGATGACACGTCATCAAGTCTATCGCAGGCAACTGAACATCCCCACCAGGATGCCGCTCATACCCCGGGATCCTCTCTCAGCGTGGAAGGGCCCAGCAATGGATGGGGAGCTGGAACTGCGCCTGGGATGCTGTGTGGCTCTTCCTGGACCAGCTACTTGCTCAGGTGTCCAGGTCTCAGGTCACTCAGATAAGCAGGCCACATCCCAGAGAAATCCTGACTGTGGTCAGAGTTCTGCTGTGCGCTGCTCCTGACACTCCTGGAAGCACCTTACTAGTGGGCTCGGCTGTTCTGCCCTGACCTGGACACCTGAGCAAGTAGCTGGTTCAGGAAGAGCCACACAGCATCTTCCTGGAGGGGTGCTAGTAAGACCAGTACCAAGGAGTACTAGTGAGACCAAAATCTAGTACCCCTCGGAGCCCACGGCACACCTTTGCAGTCAGTAGCTGTTGATGAGCATGGAGTTGTTTACTTTTGCTCCACCATCATGGTACTTGTGCTTGAAGAAACAAATGCAATGTTTGGCCAGGTGCAGCGGCTCACACCTATAATCCCAGCACTGTGGGAGGCCAACACGGGTGGATCACCTGAGGTCAGGAGTTAGAGACCAACCTGGCCAAATAGTGAAACCTCATCTCTACCAAAAATACAAAAGTTAGCCGGGTGTGGTGGCACATGCCTATAGTCCCAGCTACTCGGGAGGCTGAGGTAGAAGAATTGCTTGAACCCAGGAGGCAGAGGTTGCAGTGAGCCGAGATTGCGCCACTGCATTCCAGCCTGGGTGACAGAGCAAGATTCCATCTCAAAAAAAAAAAAATGCAATATTTATTCTTTCCCCTCATCTTCCAAGCTGAGATAATCATCACAGCCAGCATGGAGTAGGTGCCTGCAATGTTCCAGGCCCCGTTGTAGGCACCAGGCACCCTTCAGCTCACTTCATCATCACCACCAACTCCAGAGTGGACCAACAGAGAAGCTCATTACTTTCCCAGGATCTCACAGCAAGTGAGTGGCAGAGGTGGGATTTGAACCTAGCCGTCTTGGTCCAGAACGTGAGCTCCCAATGGCTTTGCAGCAAGCACTAATCGACATAGAGTCATCATCGGTGTCCACGCGGCATTGTTTCTAGGACCTCCCAAGGAGACTCACATCCGAGGATGCTCAAGTCCCTGATACAAAATGGCACGGCATTTGCATATAACCAACACACATCCCCCGTGTGCTTCAGGTCATCTACTTAGAGTACTTATCATCACTATAATACCTTGTGCAATGCAAATGC